GGCAGATAAATGGCTAGTTCGTCCAAACTACATTTTGGTATGTGTCTCACACTCTTGAAAATCACAATAATCGCACGAAAGATTTCAGAAAGTATGATCAAATAGTTGTTAGATGAAGAACTTTTTGCTTCTCCAAACAAATCGAACTAGCAATGCGAAAGAGAATCGACTATTCTTATTGTGCTCGATTTTTTAAATTTTTCGATGATGAATCGAAGACTCGCTTTATTCGTTGAGTAGTCTGATGGCACATTTGCACCGCTCGTCTTCGTTTTCCTGTTCCCCATTATGTCCGATAATTGACGACGACCTTTCAAGCTCGTATGATGACGTTTAATTTGTCATTTGTTCCCTTTTATTAAGAATGAGTTGCAGGTCAGTTGAGTGCAAAATTATATCACGTCAATCACGTGCTTTAAATTTTCGTGATATATTTGCAATTTATAATAACATATTATTAGAAGTTCACAAAAGATTACATTATACATTAATATTTGCATCAGTTTGTGCAAATTATCATATTAAACGTAATTGTTATGTTTGAATTAAATATAAATTGTTGTTGTTTAAACATAAATTGATAATCATAATATTAATTACATACATATGTTTCCTCAATATCATTTTTTTTGCCGTTTTGTTGCTCATAAAATTATTCCTCTGTTACCATAAATTTGTATTCCGTGATATGCTATTTTTCTTAACAAAGCTGCTCGGATGTAGAGCTTACACGGTCGCTCGCACGCGCGAGAGTTATGGTTAAGTAACTAAGATGGTAAGACCGGGTCGCAGTCCGACGAAGTAAATTTACGCTGATGAGAAAATTCATATAAATTGGATCGATAAGGAATGTGGAATATAATTTGCACAAACTCTTTCTCGACCAACCAGATTGTTATCATAAATGATTGCAGTCGTTCTAATTGGAGCGAATTAAGTAGGCAAACGCGGACTTCAATTATAAACAGCATGTATTTTCTATTTGAAGAATTTGATCTTTATGACTTAATTAAATAATATATTGCAAATTAATATTATCGATCTGCGTATGTATGACTTTTTCATTATTCAATATTGCATTACGAACAATATTAACTCATTTTTTTAGCGATATCATTTACATTATAAATGCTTAAATGTCTACGATACTTTTGGCGATTAATCTTCAAGTCATGATAGATTTTCTATATTTAGACAGTAATTTATTTCCTAATTCACTAGTAGTTGCGTGTTTGTTGGAGGACGCGCGATACGTGATTTAGTATTTTTCCACGGCATCATCTGAGCGGATTCATCGAATCATTTAATTTTTCCTGCAAAGATTGGGTCGGCTATTAAACCGGATATCGATTTGCGGTTGTCCGAGCTAAACGGCCCAATACGATGTTCGTAGCAATGGCTCGGGGCAATGGCCGGATTGGGACGTGAGTGAATAATACAGTACACGGATGCTGCCGATACTTCAATCGCTAACGAATCTTTCCGCGTCAAGGAAGCTTTATTATGGATCGCGATAAATTACATCGTACGCAAAGAATGCCATTCGTATTCGTATTCGTCGATAGGTCGTGTTCCGTATGCAATCAATAATCTCGTAAATCACGTATCAACTGTTTCGCGAAGCACGACTATTGAATTTATACAAACGGTCATCTTTCATGTGAAAAAGTCGATCAATATATCGATCGGGGTCAAACTTATCTCTCTTAAAAACTCGAAAGACGACAGATATGAAATATTATATATATGGAAGAAGTTAAAAAATTGAAAAATCATTCTTTAGCGCATCCGCTGGGATTCCGAAAATCATATCCGCTCCGTGTCAAATATTAATGATGCGATATCGCTCAGAATATCTTATACTTTTAACTTTAAACTTTTCTAAAAAGACTGCTTTTTTTGTCTGACGTAAGAGAACTGGTTTTTCGTTATGTCCATATAAATATTTACCGATTTCTTTTTATTAATTCAAAATACTATTGAAAAAATCATCAACTGAACTTTTTAATCGAATCTATATTACAGTAGAAAATTAATTAACATTTAGTTTATTTAACATTTGGCTGCAATTGCTTTATACTTATTAATTTCTGATTGAATCGTTATATTGGAATTCTAATAAAGAAAGTATATTTTTTCTAGAAGTCTCGAGAACTTTTAGAGATAACAACGAACCAATTTAATTCACTTATTGCCGAGCACATCTCGCTATCCGAAAATACAAGTTATTTTCTCTCGCACGACTTAAACAACGCTAGAATCTCTTTTTAAAGTTAATCCATTACCATGTGGTGGCGCGCGTTGCGCAGTTACGGTACGTTAACTGTAAAGAGTGAGCGGTGCGTCCTTTTCCCGTCTTTCACCCTTTCCTCTCTGTTTATTTTCTTCCTGCGTCTCCCTTTATTGTGTTATTTATGTGCTTAATACCAGCTTAAGCGAAGTGGCTCAACCTTTCTCGTAATCTGTCGCTTTTTTCCTCCGTATTTTTCCCTCTCGTAATACAGATACGTAGGCGGCTTATTTCGTTCTTGACGGCTTCGTAATCCTGTGATTTTCCTTGCGGAAGAGACCTGATGTACGAAGTAAAAACAGGAGAGGTAAGAATAATCCGCGGCGAGAAGAAAAGAAGAGTTAATCGCGCTCGATATAGGCCGTAATTGTCACGCGGAGCATGGTCGATTCGTGGAAGTGGTCTTGTTCAACACCGATCGGTATATCAGCGAGTTCTGCGGGTGACGGTGCAGCCAGAAAAATCGTGATTTAAACGGCCGAACCACTTCGTACGCCCCGTCGTCTCCGTCGTTTGGCACCCCCCCCTCCGACTTCCCCTTGATTCTCTCTCACACATTTCGTTCTCCGCTCTTTATTATTCCTCGCGACTCGGTCGCCCAGTTCATCCCTCTTTGTTCTTTTCTCCTTTTCTAGGACTGCACAACACACATTCCCTCGTGCTCGCCGACTCACTCGCTCCAGATCGTGATTTTCTAAAAGCTCCCTTCCGAGTTGCTTGAAAACCATTCGTCGGCGAAGTACCGTAGATATCTCAGGAAAACGAAAAAATATTGTTCATCTTCTTTTCGTCATTGGCACCGACGACTCGCGCGATAACGGCAACCTGCAGGTTGCAGAGATTAAAGGAGATTTTTAGAGACGTTGTGAAAACTTTTTAACTCTGTTTTTGTAATTATCTCGTAAATCTTTCTTTTTTATACAAGCGTATTTTCAGTATTTTACACATGCTGCGATTTAATTTATTCACAGAATAAAGATAACAAAAAAGAATTGAAGGGAGTAATTATCTTTAATTTATTTGGGTCTTGTTTTGTTAAGAAACGTGCGGTTATACGATATATTTTTCAAATTTTAACCATTGTAGAACTATTATTTCTCGAGATTTTTCTATTTCATATTTTTGATATTTTTCTTTTAATCCATAAATGTGTGTGTTGTGCGAAATAACATTTGTGCAATAACGAAACATGAAACCGCACATTTTCTATTAATACAGCTTTGTGTGTGTATTTATATATCGCAGAAAAACAAAAATAAAACCAATTAATTTGCCGGTGCATTATGTATATCTCTTCTGCATATTAATGTGTGTAATTGAGTATTTAATTAGCCTTAATTTGAAATGGAACGATGAATCCATGCTGTGTGGATATTACCGGTCTGACGACTTAATCAGTTATGTGACGATGTCGGGATTCTTTAATAAGAGATACGGCACCGATGTGAACTTGGCGCCCAACTTTATTTAAAAAAAAATCACTAATCTAGTTCGTTTGTACTTCGTTTGTACCTGTTTGTACCGCTTCTTATTTCGTTTGTACCTCAAAGGGTAAAAAAATACAAGGGGGTGAAAAAATGGCCAGCGCCCGATTACAAGATTTTTAAATTTCGTTTATGCCATTTGAAAGAGAATCGTTTGTACCCGTTTGTACCTCTTTTGATTTTGTTTGTACCTCAAAGGGTTCGCAGATACAGCGTTTTTCAGTTTCAGCCTAACCCTTCTATAGGGAACTTAGCCATTTTACAAGATATCGAGAAACGGCCAACGGCATTCGAAAGAGAATCGTTTGTACCCGTTTGTACCACTTTTGTTTTCGTTTGTACCTCAAAGGGTTCGAAGATACAGCGTTCTTCAGTTTCAGCCTAACCCTTTTATAGGGAACTTAGCCATTTTACAAGATATCGAGAAACGACCAACGGCATTCGAAAGGGAATCGTTTGTATTCGTTTGTACCACTTTTGTTTTCGTTTGTACCTCAAAGGGTTCGAAGATACAGCGTTCTTCAGTTTCAGCCTAACCCTTTTATAGGGAACTTAGCCATTTTACAAGATATCGAGAAACGGCCAACGGCATTTAAAAGAGAATCGTTTGTATCCGTTTGTACCTCTTTTGTTTTCATTTGTACCTCGAAGGGTTCGGAGATACAGCGTTTTTCAGTTTTAACATAAACAAGCGGTTATTAGTGCCTTCACGCTTAAAGTTAACTGCGTTTCAAATTTTTTATAACACGTAATCAATTTCTTTGTGTGAAATCAACTTAAAATTAACTTAAAATAATATTTTGAATATTGATCGTTTACTTTAAATATTGTATTACGTTACTGTGTTATACTATAAATAAAGATGAATATAATAGTGGAATAATTTTAATTATTGATACACTTAGGATGAAAATACTTAGAAATTAATGAAAAATGTTTTATGTCTAGATTAACGAAACCTGTTAAATAAATTTTTGGACTTATAATATTTTTTAATGTTAACATTTTATGTATAAAATATTAAATTTTTTTTCATTTTTATGGAATTAAAAAGAATTTTTAAAAACTTTTAATATGTTTTTCTAAACTAATAATGAATATTTATAAGAAAATATTAGAGTAATGAAATAAACGCAAACGAAAGTAAAATTACTGTTAACACGAAGATAAAATAAATTATTTCAATGTTTTATGAAAAGTAATAGAGATATTTTTTTTTTTTGCAGAAGCATTCGGGATGATGCTGTTAATGAAGTTTTATTTTTATTTAAATCGTCATATGTCTCCCAATTTCCCGTTACTCGACGGCAGTGAGCTATGTAATGCCCAATGTCATTTTTATTAGTGCCACCAATATATTCGATTGCTGCTACTAATTTATATGTGCATTTGCAGAACTGTATGTCTAATAGTATCTCAGACAGAGTAAGCGTACCGGACCAATCGATATATCCAAGTCTGCAAGCAAGATCAGTCCATTGCAGACATTCAAGGTCTACAAAGAGATGCGGCCCTGTTGTAAAATTTGTAATTAAATTTTCATTGCCACATCTTTTACATTTTTTATTTATGTCTTCGATTCTTTGATTAATCGCTATTTGCAAACCGCGCATACTATTTTCATATATCGGTTTAGGGTTCATTTCTAATACCTTGATACTTTTGTGATCCATCCATTTACATGTTGAGCATTCTTGAGACACATTATACGAGAATGAATTTTCCATTAAATATTTGTCTATTAACTGACTTACGTTACACGCACAATCCATCGTTCCACCTGTTGGTCGAAAAATTTTATTTAATATTATAGCTCTTTCCTTGTATACTTTTTGTAATGTGCCAAATGTAGATATCATTTTAATAAAATCTGTTATATAATCAGTGGTGTTATTAATATATTCATGATATGTGATCCAGTCGCGATAACCTATTAATAAAGATTGCACAATGCTATCAAACGCACATGTATTTTTTATCATGATATGTTGGCCCGAAATATTTTGTGGGCGTAAGATATTGCCATTCTGCAATAAGGGGATTTTTGATGTTAACCGAGGTTTATTATGGATACTGTCTATATCAGGGCATACTCTCAAATATTTACCTCGTTTTAAAACTTTATTTTTTGGGCTTTTCCAGGTTTCAACCTCATTTAAAAAAGGTGTGAGTGAATATGTCGAATGCTCTTTATTTGGCGAATAATGTGCTATCGATGTATCCATACTATCATCTTCATTATAACATTCATCATTATGTTGAGACATATAAACTTCACTTTCATTCGAACTTACTTCATTGCAGTTTATCATATCATTGGAAAATTCATGGGTTTTATTGGACGTTATTGTATCAGCGTTTAAGATTTTCATGGTACCCGCGAGTGATCTTATATGTGATATTAGAAATTTATCTGCGCGTATATTCTTCATACCTTTAAAAATTATATTTTTTAGTTCGTTAAAATATTGCTCGCTTCTAGCTGAAGACGCAACGCTCGTTTTATCAGATGCCATTACAGTCGTCCATAATGGAAACTCTTTCAAAATTCTAAGTAAGTTCATACCGAAACTGTGACAATAATATGGATTCAGCCTATTTCCGGAATTTATCATTTTTTTACTATTTCTTTCTAAATCACGGAGTAAATTATTTATGCGATTACCAGATTCGTAATTAGGAATCTCTTCCAAGCATTCATTTGTACCTTCTTCATAATATGGAAAATCATTGGTTTTGATAATTTGTAATAATCGCTGTTGAGCCTTGAAACATGTAATTGTATTATCATTCATATGTTCTGTTTCTGAAATATCTTCTGTTTCTGAGAAGGCAACTGTCAAGATATCAAGGCAGATTCGATTAAAATTATCAAAAGTTTTGGTTTTACTTAAGATTCCAACACATCTAACATAAAAGTCTTTTATACGTGCGTGTTTGTCATTGAAACATTTCCAACGGCAGACTAATTTTATTAAATGTGCGATGTCAATTCTGATAATACATTTTGGAATATTGCGATCATTATTTTGCAGTATTGTCAAGCAATTCTCAACATATGTACTGAGATTGCAATTGTTAAATGCTAGAGCTACAGCATTTAAAAGTGCAAATGAATAATCTGTAACGACCTCTTTTGGACAAATTGCACCAGATCGCAACCATTCGTGTAACCAATATGTCAACATATTTGTATCGTGTTTTTCGGATATCATTTGCAAAACAGGTAGAATTTTTGACTTGAAAGGAACAACTGCTTGGTACAAGAACAAGAAATTTGTAGATCCATCAGGTTTCTTAATTTTTTTTACTACAGATCCTGTTGCGTCTATGCTTAATATGCCTGCTTTTTGTGTTTGTCGATGAAATTGTTGATATAAGAGTAACTGTTCGGGACTAAAATAAATGACAAAAAATTTATCCAAACCTATTTCTCGTATAATTCCTGAAAATTCAGGTTTATATTTTAATGTTAGAATTGATGCAACAGGATCAGATATTTTATCAAGATCTAAATTTTTTGTCGTTATCTATTTGTTTCGCTTTGCGTAATACAGTTCTCATTATATAAGTGTGCTGGCTCTACAT